AGCCTGCCTTGGGGGCAAAGGCTTTTTCAAGGCACAGAACCCAGAGCCGGCTCCCCAGCAGGGCTGGCTTACCACCCCTGTCACAGTGCCTCATTCTTTTCATTCCTGAAACACCTCATGACTTTTCTCATAATGTGCCTGGTTTATCTTTTATGAGTTCACAATTCCACACTAGAGTCACAGACAGCAGTTGGCTTCCACCAAGTCTTTCAAAGCTCCTACCCAACCATCTCCATGGGCCGGGAGCTGTGCTGTGAGTGACCTCAGCCAGCTGGGCGGGTCAGCAGTGTCTCTGGGTGACTAGAGGAGGTGGGGGGTTCTACTTCCCGTCCCCATCGGCTCCCTACGAGACAGAATGACAGCGAGTCTCCTTCCCATTTATACTGACAGGTACCTAGCAGGCAGGCCCAGTGACACCACAAAAGCTGTCCCTCCAAGTTCAGGAGGGACCCATTTGGTCCTCCACCCCATGACAGTTACCTGCTGTGAAATTGATGACCAGAGCACCAGCCAGCACCCAGCTGGCCAGAGAGCAGAGTCTCCCAGGAAGCCACAGGCCCCAGGGGAGGCCAGATGTGAACAGGCCTCTGGCTCCTGGGAGCTGTCACACTGGAGGGCCCTCCTCCCTGCGATGATGCTTTGACTTTCTGTCTTCTTGATGCCCTGGCACCTGAGGCTTTGATCCTGGAGAGYACAGCCCCTCCCAGGGCCAGCTCATTACTCTGTGACGAAACCCCGATACACAAACTGGAGCCCACACCCCCGCGGCGTGCTTCCTGAGAGGCACACACAGGCCATACCCACTGCTTCAGATCAACCCAGTGGGGTCCACACACCTAGGGCCTCCCTGGGTCCCAGAGCATTCAAACTCTCACTCTGGGCTCCCCTACTGTCCTGACCCTGCCCTGTCCATCCCTCCCAAGACCCTCCAGTCCAAGACTCCTGGCCCTCTTCTGCTTCCTGATGGTCCCTGGTCTTGTGACGTGTGGCCTACAAAGGGGCTGCACCTCCTGTTTCCATAAACTTCTTCCTTTACAATGCTCATTTCCTTTGCTGTCTGCCCATCCCAATTAAAACTAGTCCCAGCTACCCTTCTGTGTTGTTATGGTTGCCATACTGGAGGTTGAACCCAGGGGTACTCTACCACCAAACCACATCCCAGCCCTTTTTTATTATCTATTTTGAGACAGGGTCTCACTAAGTTGCTGAGGCTAGCCTCAACTTGCCATCCTCCAGCCTCAGCCTCCCGAGCCCAGGAACGTTTTTTAACACAGTCCCTGAAGCAGAGTGCTTCAGAGAGTCAGCTCTGCAGAGCCCATTTTTCAGGGGAATGGAGAAGATGGAGTAACCAGGACAGCCAGCCCCAATGGCAAGGCATTTTTCAGCTCCTGTCCAAGGAGCCCCGAGGACCAGGACTGGCCCTGTGCCAGTGCACGAAGGCCTGGATCCCTGTACTTGTCCTGCCTGTGGGGCAAACAGCAGCACCTCCCAGTGAGCAGCACAGGGCAGCAGCACGGGGTGTGCACAAGAACAGACCAAGCAGCCAAGGCCGCCTCTGGGCAGGTGGCCCAGTGGGTGGGAAGCTACTCTGCCACCKTGGCTCAGGAGAAGGCCCAGGGCCAGGAGGGCAGCCAGAGGGGCAGAACTCTCATCACCATCAGGTCATGAGGTCACCTGGAGACGCAGAGCCCAGATGAGGAAGGCAACTCCCGGTCACAGAAGGCCCAGGGCCTGCTCTAGAGTGGACCCCAGCACACAGCAGGGCCAGGTGTGTGCTTCTCGCTTACTACCCAGGCTGGGGCTCTGAGAGAGGAGGGCCCACCTCAGGGAGCAAGGGACAGCCACAGAGGGCAGGGGGTGTCGGCAGGTGGTAGGCGGGGCAGAATCAGAGTAGGCCAGACAGAATCAGAGTAGGCCAGACACCAAGGGAGGGTCCCCAAGAAACTCAAATTGACAAAATTCCAGAAAACATGGGAAATATTGCCACAGACACTACTAATATCCAAAGGATCATCAGAAACTATTTTGGAAATTTAAATTCCAATGAGCTAGAAAATCTTGAAGATACTGACAAATTCCTAGAAATCTGACCTACCCAAATTGAACCATAAGGATATTAGAAAACTTAAACAGATCAACAGCAAGTAATGAAATTGAAGCAGSTACCAAAATCCTTCCAACAAAGAAAAACCCAGGACGGGATGAATTCTCAGTCAAGTTCTACCAGAACTAGTACCAATCCTCCTCAAATTATTCCATGAAATAGAAAAGAAGGGAATCCTTCCAAACTCATTCTATGAAGCCAGAATCACCCTGATACCAAAACCAAAGACWCATCAAGGAAAGAAAACTTCAGACCAATATCCTTGATGAACATAGATGATGCAAAAATTCTTAATATGGTAAACCACAGTCAAAAAAAAAAAAACATTAAAAAGACAGTGCCCCATAATCAAGTGCCCATCACCCCTCCCCTCCTACCCTGCAGAACCCCAATAGATTATTTTACTGAAACCCACTGCTTACTACTGTGATCCCAGAGATGCAAGTTTGATTCAACCT